ACGCCAATAGCTTCATGTACATATTCAACCATATGTGAACAACATCTTATTTTATTGTCGCTTTATCTGATTTCTTTATCATCTGGAAGGGAGACATTCATTCCATCACATCTATGATCGATGAGATTAACAAAGCACCACTTTGACCGCCATCCCACAACGGGTTGTTTCTCTTGATTTTCACAAATAATACAAAACTTGCCTACAGTCTCTATACACAATGTCAGTATATTTATATCAGCAGACATTTTGTGCTAAGATAGAAATAAAAGTGTATATTGCCAGTCACACTCGGGACAAAGCTGACTCCATCTTGTATTTCAGGCTAAGAAAGACACAGAATTTCTATCTATCTGTAACTATATTCATTCAAACCTGAGCTAAGGAATGTGTTATGTAAACAAGGCAATGACGTCTCACAAGAAGGGGGATGGAATACTATTTCTTAATGTTAGTGGAATAGAAATAATTTTAAACACAGACACAAGAACCAGGTAACAGTTACAGATAGCACTTAGTAATTAATTTTACTTTCTAAATCTTACAAAGTCCCATTGTAAGCAAGAGGTGAAATTAAGGTTTAGACATGTCAGAAAGTAGATTTAAAGGTATATGCCCGACACGAAGTCTGGGTAAGAGAGTGAACCAATGCTTTGAAGGGACAGGTCTTGTGAGTTATAGGGACATAAAATAGATAAAATAATGACTCAAAATCATCATCATTTTCAGTTAACCCATTGCAGGACAAGACATTTTGGTAATGTAATTGCGCTATCTACTGACCATAAACTAGATGATTGTCTGTAAGGTAGACACACCTACAGTTCCCTATTCATCCGATCAACTAATGACGTGCAGAGAGTTTGGTCCTTTAAAAAGTAAGGACAAAGGAGATTCAGGAAGACATACATTTAGACATTCAACTCTCTGGGACTGACACTCAATTCTGACATTCAAGAACATTCAACACTCAAAGACTGAGATATTCAAACTCTCTTGAAGAAACACTTTCCACCTAATCTTTTCAAACCAACACCACTTTCTCTATTACATGCACACCTCTATACATCAATCATGCGTGCATTCAATTCCTGGGACTATCTACTCATCTGATAAGAACATCTACAACATAACTGGTAATTATGCTGGTTTTATTTAATTAAATTAATTAAACTTTTACTAATAGCAGGACTATATCTGGATAAATCTTGTCAGATTTCAATCATTAGAAATCTTAGTTAACTAAAGAATATATGGTTATAAAAATTCCATTCCTGCAGGTGTAATAAAGATAACAATATATTAAAGGTAATATTTACCAACAGATTAGCATGGCACATTTATCCAGAAATATTGACTTATTCTGATATGAGATAGAGAATCTTATGTAGGAAAGGTAAAATTCAGCTAATGTAAAAATCTGGTAGAATTATTCTTATTGGATGATTCCAGGAATGGTTAATGATCTGGTATGAACATTGCTTTAATTGAAAAATTGCAACAGAATATGATATTGTATGCCTAGGAGGATTGCAGCCAGCATGGAAAGGGTTACTCAGCTGATCTAACTGTTAGCCAAGGTTTTATGGCTTCTCGCTGTGCCAAGAATTTTGGTTTCTGTGTGAAGTTGGTTTCTAAGTGAAGTGCCCTATCATAAATCTCTTGACAGCTGATTGCTTTTAGCCGCTGTATTGTTTAAACCATTGCCATTTTGTATACCTATGTGATACTAAATATTCACTGATTATTAACGCATGTTACATATTATTCTAATTTTTGTTATTATTGTCACAATAAATTATATTTTTATAAAGAAATTGTGATCACTGTGTGAGGTAAAATCCTCTAGTGAAATGTTCTTTAGGATCTAAGAGAATTAAATAGTGGGTAATTCTCAGCTTTATTATATTATATATTAGGGGACAGTGCCAAAATATCAATTTTGATGTAATAAAATGTATTCAATTAATTTTTGATAATCTTCATGAAAATATTATTTTAATATTTATCACCCCATAAATATCCTCCCACTTTATCTCAGCAGTGCCTCCAAATTGGGAGGCTATTTATGGGGTGATCAATATTAAAATAATATTTTCATAAAAATTATCAAAAATTTATGTAATAATTGTATTATATCAAAATTGATTTAATTATATAAAACCAGCATAATTACCAGTTATGTTGTAGATGTTCTTATCAGATGAGTAGATATTCCAGGAATTGAATGCAAGTATGATTGATGTATAGAGGTGTGCATGTAATAGAGAAAGTGATGTTGGTTTGAAAAGATTAGCTATCCAGGAAAGTGTTTCTTCAAGAGAGTTTGAATGTCTCAGTCCTTGAGTGCTGAATGTTCTTGAATGTCAGAATTGAGTGTCAGTCCCAGAGAGTTGAATGTCTGAATGTATGTCTTCCTGAATCTCCTTACTTTTTAAAGGACCAAACTCTCTGCACGTCATTATTTGATCAGATGAATAGGGAACTGTAGGTGTGTCTACCTTACAGACAATCATCTAGTTTTTGGTCAGTAGATAGCGCAATTACATTACCAAAATGTCTTGTCCTGGAATGGGTTAACTGAAAATGATGATGATTTTGACGTCATTATTTTATCTATTTTATGTCCCTATAACTCACAAGACCTGTCCCTTCAAAGCATTGGTTCACTCTCTTACCCAGACTTCATGTCGGGCATATACCTTTAAATCTACTTTCTGACATGTCTAAACCTTAATTTCACCTCTTGCTTACAATGGGACTTTGTAAGATTTAGAAAGTAAAATTAATTGCTAAGTGCTATCTGTAACTGTTACCTGGTTCTTGTGTCTGTGTTTAAAATTATTTCTATTCCACTAACATTAAGAAATAGTATTCCATCCCCCTTCTTGTGAGACATCATTGCCTTGTTTACATAATGCATTCCTTAGCTCAGGTTTGAATGAATAGAGTTACAGATAGATAGAAATTCTGTGTCTTTCTTAGCCTGAAATACAAGATGGAGTCAGCTTTGTCCTGAGTGTGACTGGGAATATACACTTTTAATTTCTAGCTTAACACAAAATGTCTGCCGATATAAATATACTGACAACAATCTACGGACAGAAATACCTTGCAGCAAGCAGACGTCTCCCATTCCAAGCACTTGAAAGACTCACAACCCCTTTCACAGTTCATGAGAGTTAAGAGAAATAACTCCGAACCTTTAAAAGCCCAACAACAGATTAACAAAATGTGGCACAAATTCAAACAAAGTGGGTATAAAGAGTCAATACTACAGCAAGCACTGGACAAGATCAACGACGCCCAAAGGCTAATTAAAGCAGACTCAACGCACTTGGTGTTCCCAACTACATTTAACAAAGCATCCCACAAATTGTAGACACCACTGAGATCCAATTGGCAGCTACAAGTAAAAGACCCCACGTTATCTAAGAAATTTCAAAATCCCCTTATGCTAAGTTACAAACAGGGGAAAATCTACGAGATTTACTAGTAAAGACTGACCCAGTTACAGTAATTGTTATACCAAGGAACAAACTGCACAGGACACAGGCTGTTATAGATGTCTATTCTGCGTCACTTGTAGCCATAAGATGCCTAGTAAATTCTTCATCCATCCTCACACAGGGAGGAGATACCAAATTAGACACAGACTGACGTGTACTTCAGACTTTGTCACATATAAACTTCAATGTCCGTGCGGATTATGCTATTTCAGAAAAAATGACCTTCCACTGAGAGAGTGTATCAGAAAACATAGGTTGAACCTTCACATTGCATAAAGGGGCAATAAAACCGAGCTCTGAGTGAACAAGCACTTTCTAGCACAGGGACATCCCTTGCCTAGCTGAAATTCATGGCCTTTGACCATATGTCACCCTTGCATAGAGATGGTGATAAGAAGAAACTCCTTCTCCAACATGAAGCATTCAGGATTAGAACGTTGGACGCAGTCTGGCCTTAAGGCCTTAATGCAAAATATACCCTGTAGATATTCTTATACGTTTGAGCTTAAACTGATTGTGTTCTATATGCATTACAATGTACTATAGTTTTCATCATGTTCTGCTCATATAGGGAGGAAGCCTATAACGTTAGGATGTTAATTCATTAGTCACTTGTAGTAGTTTCTGTAGACATATTCGTATAGTCTCTTTTTTGTTAGAGAGTCTTTTCCCCTTAATATAATTAGAAACACTATACAGTGACCTTCGTTTATTCTATTATACTTGGGGAACTTTGCAACATTCTATCCAGATAATATCCACATGCCCCATTATCTGGCAACAGGTGTCAGACTTTCAAATGTCTTCATTAATTATTTTCTCATTCCATTTGTAAGTGTATTGTAGCGGAGCTCCCTGTACCCCGGCTGGGTAACGTCGCCAAGGTCCGCTTCTTTGCTGGAACCGGGGAAAAATAGGATAGGGGACTAGCTCTATTCCCTCCCAGGGACTGGATGACACACAGTCCTGGGAGCTACAGTCCTTACAAGGACTTTCCCCGCTGAATCCTCCACGAGCTGGAACAAGGTGCTGAGCAGTGATTAAAGCCCTTCTCCTCAGTAACTAGACGACACGTAGATAACTGATTTTAATGATTTTAATCCCCTCAGCAGGGGATCTCCATTAAATTCAACACAAGCCCCTCCCAGGAATCTCTGGGCCTGGGAGACAATTGCATTAAAAGACCAATACATTAATTATCTCCCAGGAACAGAGAGGCAAACACAAAAACATAAAAACACAAAAGTACAACAAAATATAACAAAATAGCCCCACAAATATTACAGTCACAAACAGCCAAATCTGAGCACCCAAGCCATCCAAATAGCGCTCAAATCCACATAGTGTAGGGGAAACGCCACCGTTTCCAGGTACCTGTACTTAGTTGGGGATCTCCCTTTTGCGAGCTGCCATCGGTGCCGAGTCTACTACTCTTCCCTGATGAAGTAAGCGCAGTCTTACAAAACGCGTAGGAACGACGGATCCATCAAGACAGGACCTCACACAGAGATCATCAGACATCAGCCGCATACAACAACATAGCCTGAGCGCGCTTGGCACAGATGGCAGCTCGCAAAAGGGAGATCCCCAACTAACTACAGGTAGCTGGAGAAGGAACCATCCTTCTAGCTCTCCACAAGACAACTTAGGAACATACCCGGTACAAGACCGATAGGATCTACACCCTTACCGAGAAAGCCAAACGGCTGATGCCTGTGCAATTCTAACATCAGAAGGTTGTTACGGTACCTCCAGGAACGAAACGTACAAACCGCCGTTTAGCGAGTATTCCCCGTTCGCAATAATGTGGTCGGGTAGCGGGTATAATAAAACCATGCGAACGCCAGTCAGGGAACACTCCAAACTCCCAAACGGTACCTGTACGGCTAATTCCCTTCGCAAGCCGCAAATCCACGAACGGCAATTAATAACCGAACGACAATCTCTCCCAAGCGGCAAATAATCCAAGTAAACAGTCTCTCGCCGCTAGTATCCAAATCCCCCCAATAACGAGACCAAGCTCCGCTTTGAGGGTAAAACACGAACTGGTTTACTGTGGGCTACCTGCCCGGTATATATGCAGGTCTCCCACTTGGTGGACACTCCCCTAGGGGACCAAATGGGAGACTGAAATCACAGAGGGACATGGGGACATTCTGGACATACATCCCCACAATATTCCCAGCATGCAGTACAGTTCCCTCCCCTCTGCTCGGGGGATAATTGGGAAGTAACTCAATTATCTCCCCGAGCAGAGGCAATCGCCATTTTAGATACAAGTTACAAAACCACACAAAAATCCATAACTTAATAACTGCTGAACATTTTACATCAGTCTTGCATATCCCCAGATAGCCTGGATCTGAGGGCACATTATTGGAGAATAGCGCTCAGATCCCATTCGCACAGTTCAATCGCCATGGAGTCAAAGTCTCTTTCAGTTCGTCGGTATGCGATTGACTCCATGGGACGGCTATCTGGGTTAAGTCCATTCGTGTGGTTGAATCTCCCGAACTGCTGGCATTCGTATACTTTTGTCGATTGAGAAGGGAGGTCGACGGCTTCAGCGGTGTTCGGCTGAAAAAGTGTCCGTTTTCAGATCCATGAAATAATCATCGAACAACGCTGGTCTATCGCATGGACAAAATGGCCGCCGCCTCGTGGTCGACATACGAACGACGACCACCCGGCATTCGGTTTTAATTGAGAAGTGTCTGTGGTTAACCGCAACGTTCTAATTGGGATCAATAGGTTAACCAGCAGCACACTTCTCTTCTGGGTGGCCGTCCGTTCGGTAGTTTCGTTCGACAAAACCGATATTCCCTTGAATAAAGCATACGAATGGGGAAATTCATGTAACCGGCAAAACAGGCGAACAAAGCAGTTATAATCCAGACAGATGGGTCTGTCACACGGCTCCCCCCTTGTGGAACACTCCGGCAGACCCGGCTTGACCCTTTGGCAACTTGGGGATGACCGGACTGGGAATAAGTAGGGGTGTCTGTTTGCCGGGACAACCCATCCGCGTTCCCATTCTGCTTACCGGGTCGGTAGCTGATGGTGAAGTTGTAAGGCTGTAGTGCCAAACTCCACCTCAGCAGTCTGCCATTGTCTCCTGAGACCCGGTTAAGCCAGACAAGGGGGTTATGGTCCGTAATAAGGGAGAATTCTTGTCCGTATAAATAAGGGCTCTATTTCTTCAGTGCCCAGACCAGGGCTAAACACTCTTTCTCCACTGCCGCATAACTTACTTCCCGGGGTAGTAACTTTCTGCTTAAGTATGCGACAGGGAGCTCTCCTCCATCTTCCCCGACCTGGCTTAGCACAGCCCCCAGTCCATACATGGAAGCATCTGTATGTACAAGAAAACGTTTGTTAGGGACTGGGGCAGCCAGGACAGGGGCATTAACAAGAGCTTGCTTCAGTGCCTGGAACGCGGCTTCACAAGCTGGAGACCACAGGACCTGCTTAGGCAAATTCTTCTTAGTCAGGTCAGTCAAGGGCTTGGCAACCGTACTGTAGTCGGGGACAAAACGTCGGTAATACCCTGCCGTCCCCAGGAAAGCTAGCACTTGGGTCTTGGTGATAGGTGTGGGCCAGTTAGCTACAGCCTCTACCTTGGCTGGCTCCGGTCTCTGGCTCCCACAGCCTACTCTGTTACCCAAGTACTGTACTTCTGCCATGCCTAGATGGCACTTGTCTGGCTTCAAGGTCAGGCCTGCGGCCCGAATCTTGTCCAGCACCACCCCCACGTGTACTAAATGGTCTTCCCAGGACTCACTGTAGACCGCAATGTCATCCAGGTAGGCACATGCAAAGTCCTGGAAGCCATCGAGGAGCCTATCCACCATACGCTGGAAAGTAGCCGGAGCATTCTTCATCCCAAATGGCATAACCTTAAACTGGTACAGGCCAAATGGGGTGACGAATGCCGACTTAGGGATAGCATCCTCGGCCAGGGGAATCTGCCAATAACCTTTACACAGGTCAGTGGTGGTCAAGCAGCGCCCCCTGGCAATGCGGTCTAATAACTCGTCTACCCGGGGCATAGGGTAGGCATCAGTGGTGGTCCGCTCGTTGAGCCGCCTGTAGTCCACACAGAACCGGGTGGTCCCATCTTTCTTAGGCACCAGAACTACAGGCGAGGCCCAAGGACTGTCCGAATGTTCGATAACCCCCAGTCTGGTCATTTCCTGTATCTCCTTCCGCATTCCTTCTCGGACTGCTTCAGGGATACGGTATGGGGGTTGTCGTAGGGGGTTCTGTCCGGGTGTCTTGACCTTGTGTACAGCTAGGGTAGTGTACCCGGGTTCTTGGGAGAACGTCGCCTGCTTCTCCCACAGTAACTGTCTCGCCTGTACCTTCTCTGCCGGGTTTAGCCGGTCCCCCAGCTGTACAAGACTAGTAAGGTCTGTCTGGGGATCCCTCTCTAACAAGTCAGGTAAAGGTAAGTTCTCGGAGTCGTCAGTAGCTGGGGCACATACCGCCGCAACATCCTCTGGTCGTTCCTGATACTCCTTCAGCATGTTCACATGGAAGGATCGCTGAATCCTTTCATCTGAACAGCTGGCTATAAGGTAGGTAGTATCGCATACCTGAGCTAACACTTTATACGGGCCCTGCCAAGATGCTTGCATCTTGTTCGTCTTCACAGTATGTGCAGTTTACTTCAACGAACAAGAACCTGTACTTAATTTTAAGTAATGTTATGTCTGCTTTGTGTAAAGTGAGCAGTTACATGAGCCTGTGTGAGTTTTCTATTACTTGTCCAATATTAGTCTTTACTTGTCCAAAATGAATTTCTATTACTTGTCCAATTGAATCTCCTTTTACTTGTTTTAAGTAAGGTTATGTCCTTGTGTAAAGTGAGCTGCTACATGAACCTGTGTGAGTCCTCTATTACTTGTCCAAAATTAATCTCCTTTTACATGTATGTGCAGTTTACTTTAAGGAACATGAATCTCTGCTTAATTTTACGTATGGTTATGTCTGCGTTGTGTAAAGTGAGCTGTTACATGAGCCTGTGTGAGTTCTCTAATACTTGTCCAATATTAGTTTTTACTTGTCCAAAATGAATTTCTATTACTTGTCCCAAATGAATCTTCTTTTACTTGTGTGTTCATTTTCATTCAAGGAACATGATTCTCTGCTCAGTTTTGAGTAAGGTTATGTCTGCCTTGTGTAAAGTGAGCTGCTACATGAATCTGTGTGAGTCCTCTATTACTTGTCCAAATTGAATCTCCTTTTACATGTATGTGCAGTGTACTTCAAGGAACAAGAATCTGTACTTAATTTTAAGTAATGTTATGTCTGCTTTGTGTAAAGTGAGCTGTTACGTGAGCCTGTGTGAGTTTTCTATTACTTGTCCAATATTAGTCTTTACTTGTCCAAAATGAATTTCTATTACTTGTCCAAATGAATCTCCTTTTACTTGTGTGTTCAGTTTCATTCAAGGAACATGATTCTCTGCTTAGAATTAAATAATGTTATGGCTGCTTTGTGTAAAGTAAGATATTACATGAGCATGTGTGAGTTTTCTATTACTTGTCCAAAATGAATCTCATTAACTTGTGTGTTCAATTTCATTCAAGGAACATGATTCTCTGCTCAGTTTTAAGTAAGGTTATGTCTGCCTTGTGTAAAGTGAGCTGCTACATGAATCTGTGTGAGTCCTCTATTACTTGTCCAAAATGAATCTCCTTTTACATGTATGTGCAGTTTACTTCAAGGAACATGAATCTCTGCTTAATTTTACGTATGGTTATGTCTGCTTTGTGTAAAGTGAGCTGTTACATGAGCCTGTGTGAGTTCTCTAATACTTGTCCAATATTAGTCTTTACTTGTCCAAAATGAATTTCTTTTACTTGTCCCAAATGAATCTCCTTTTACTTGTGTGTTCATTTTCATTCAAGGAACATGATTCTCTGCTCAGGTTATGTCTGCCTTGTGTAAAGTGAGCTGCTACATGAATCTGTGTGAGTCAACTATTACTTGTCCAAAATGAATCTCCTTTTACATGTATGTGCAGTTTACTTCAACGAACAAGAACCTGTGCTTAATTTTAAGTAATGTTATGTCTGCTTTGTGTAAAGTGAGCTGTTACATGAGCCTGTGTGAGTTTTCTATTACTTGTCCAATATTAGTCTTTACTT